AGGTTCGGCGCATGAATGGGGCGGCGTTTGGAACGGGCCTAAGGCTTGTAGCATTAATGGCAAAAATCATGATGTTGGATTGAAACCTTTTTTGGTCTTATCTGGGCGACTGGTTATCTGTAATCCACGCAAAGACACTTTGTTTTCTTTTATCAACAAGAAAGCAGAAGAATGAACTCTGGGCAACATATGCAAATAGGTCCAATATCGGGCGCAAAATATGTACTTCCCGTTTGGGTAGTCTGTTCACGGACCCTTTATTTTGTCCTGCGTTCATCGAGATCGCAAGCTTAGCACTGAAATATTAACCCAGCGTGAGCCAAGACGCAAGGGGGCGGGGCTCGCTCGCACGAAGAAAAATACCTCGTTGCAAAGAAAGTAAACGTCTGTGGAAAGGCTACGTTTGATGGTTGGCGTTATAGCAGTCGGTTGTTTAGGACACTTGAATGCTCATTAATTAAGATGTAATGTTCTATTTCATCCTGCTGAGTCATTTTCATCTTATTACACGCTTGAAATGATTTTTTTTATACCATAAAAACCTGTTTTGCTTATCCACCATAGCAACAACGCAACAACGCAACAACTGCTTAATGGATGCGCGGATGCGCGTCGAGAGTTTGGTATAAAACAAACACCTGGAAAATAATACATTGGAGTTCTCACAGACTGAATTGCATTGAGAGATATCTGGGTTTTGATTGTCACACGAAGTTAGAATATTATCCTGTACAAAGAACTCCGCACAAATCATAGTAAACTATAACTACATGCGGGATCAACTGATAGAGAAACAAAATATATAACAGTTTTGGGCAAATGGTAAACAAGATATGGTCACCCGTCACATTAGCTGAATTTTTATTACGACCACGTCTAATAATAATAACGGCCACGTTTTTCGCCCGATCAACAACCGTTTGTTCTGGGAAGTAGAGTATAAAATTGTTTGTATAAATATTTTGTTTTTTCACCAAAAACGGTCCGTAAAAGATACTTTCCAAACTTTATCTACGGGAAGTCTAATTTATTTACTTCGGGGTATTACAAAATGGATACAAAAACGGACCTTACTTTGAAAAAACTCACTCAGTTCAAAGTCACTGATATGCCGTCTTCGTTGCCATAGTACATTACGTGACCAGTGTAACATACAGTGTGATGAAAAAAAATGTATTTGTTTCCAAAGCTCAACCCAAAGCCTGTAGAAAATTGCGTCTAGGCGACTGATTAATCTGTTACCTACGCCACTTGTTATCTGACATCCAAGCAGACACTTTTCTTTTAACGACAGGAGAGCAGCAAAATAAACTTTGAGCAATAATTATAAGAAAATAAGCGCAATATTGGGTACAAAATGTTTACTTCCGTTTAGCTGAGTGTCGTTATAGCAGTGGGTCGTTTGTTCAGTTGAATTTACATGCCCTTTTACCGATCGCGACAACTAAGCAGCAGATTGGACCCCGGGCGATATCGGCGAATAAGAGCAATATTTACTTCCCGTTTGGCTGCTTGTGGTTATAGCAGTGGGTTGTTTGCGGCACTTGAATTTTCATCGATTGAGATATGTTTCATTTCATCCTGCTTAGTCATGTCTATCTTATTACGCGCTTGGAATGCTTGTTTATGCCAGAGAAACCGCTTATGCTTATCCACCATAACAAAAACTTAACAACTGATCAATGTATCCTCGTCGACAGTTTGGTATAAAACAATCCGGGGGGATACTCTGTAAATCTTTGGGTAGGGGTGTGCCGCTGGAATACTGAAACCCTAACCCTATACCAGACCATGATCAGCTGGATTTTGCAACGCTATTCTAGCCTAGGCCCCCCCAAACCCCTACACTACCCCAGACTAGCTATTTTCAATGAAGGAACTTTATCACTATTGTAGTCCAACATACGCTAACTAAACGGCCAATATCTAGCTTGCGAATACAGCCGCCTCTCATTCGCTCCCGCAAAATCCCATTTTAGACTAAATTATCTATACGCTGGCCACTTTTCCGGTAAATTATACCCTACTCTAGACCAAAACTGGCTGATTTCTATTCCCTATCCCACAGTGAACCTGCCTGAAAACCATACCCTTCACAGCGGCATATACTGATGAA